TTTTAGCAGAGGTACTAAATAACACAATTTCATTGAATTCATGTAACAGTAGTAAGACATTAAAAATTAAAAGTTGCAGTGAGCATACTTGTCACTCATATGATGAATGCACTCAGGAAAGTAATTTGATTTAGTAATACTGACTTTTAAAAATCATAAAAACATAGAATCACAGAAGGGTTTGGGTTGGAAGGGACCTTAAAGCCCACCCAGTGCCACCCCCTGCCATGGGCAGAGACACCTCCCACCAGCCCAGGTTGCTCAAAGCCTCATCCAGCCTGGCCTTGAACCCCTCCAGGGATGGGACACCCACAGCTTCTCTGGGCAGTTATGATATGGATAATTAATGTAATTTAGTTTACAGGATGATAATTGTCTTTATTTGTTAGCTAGTCAGGTTGAACTCCTGGCTAACAAGTTGGTTATAAATGTCCAATGGGCATTCATAAGAGAATGCTACAAGCATCAGCAGAAGGGCGGGCAGGAAAGTGCCGGGAAGCATATTCACAGCTTCATCTTCTTTTTTCCTAGTAGAAAGAGACTTAAGTTTCACATCTTAGTTACTGCATCCTGGCATATTGTTTAAGGCTCTAATTCTTAAGTTTCGTTATCTTCCTAAAATGGTAATTTTTTGTTCTGTGAATTGTCCTTTCTGCTTTGTTTTCCAGTTACTCTGTCATTGCTGAATTAGTTGATGATAATTTTGAAGGTCCTCTTCGCAGACCACTCAGCTGGAAGTCCTTGTCTGGGTTGAATAGAACAACTGTTAACGCTTCTAAGGTAAGTGTAAGATGCTAGTTTTAAAATAGCTTTAAAATTATAAATGTACAGTTTAGTTCCAAAGAACAGGGAGTTGGCATGAGGCTGGGAAGAGAATCCTCTTGTTTTCAGTCTGCTGTAGAACATGGTGAGTTACCACTAGGCAAACAAGTTTCCTTTGTCAACAGCCAGCTGAATTCTGGAAGAAGCTTATTAAAGTTATGTTGCATGCAGGAACATTAAAAGTTGTGTGAGGAACAGCAGAAAGACCCAAGGGACACTTCTTTCCGGCTTGCCACTTGTGTTTTTAAAGCCCTGTTCATCTACTAGGGTTTTCTTTTGAACAGTGTAATCTTTCCAGAAGATTTTTTCTGTGCTAGAGCCTCAGACATAGTGCTTCCACTCATAGCCATGGTGCTCAGGTGTTGTGTTGGAATTCTAGTTTATCTTATAGCAGTATTATGCTTTCATAAGGAAAATGAGATGTGCGCAGCCCTCCACAGCCTGGTTTTCAGAAGACATCTGTAGGAAGCTTGGTATCTGCATTTCTAATTAATCTAAAACTCATATAGAAAGAAATCAGTTGAAATTCATGTATTCGTGGTTTCTGTTTACCAACAGGAACTTCTGTTGTGCTATTTGATTAGACCTTCTGACATGACTGAAAAAGAAATGGCGACACCAGAATGTATGAAAAGAATTAAGGTTCAGGTGAGTAATTGTCCCTCCCTTGCCTGGGTGGCTTTGCTGTGGGGCAGTTGGACAGCTGGTGGCAAGAGCTCCCTGGAACTGTCACTCGCTATTTAGCATGCTTTGGTTTTTGCATGTGTAGCTGCAATAAAATAACTAGATTCCTTTGTGCCCCAAGGCATGAGAGGTGCATTGCAGGCTCTTTAAAGACTTAAGATCTTCTAAATTTTAAAGTTGCTGCTGTTTTTTTTCCCCGCCCCCCATAATAATTGCTGGTTTTTATTTCAGGAACTGATTGTAACTCGTTGGGTTTCTTCCCGTGAGCGCAGTGAGCAAGATGAACTTTAACTGACTACATATGAAAACTTATTTTTTTTAAAACTACTTCTTGTTGTTTTTGACCTGATGTTCTCATGATGAACTATTGCCTCAGGATGGTTCCTATCACCATACTCAGTTGGTATGTATAAATGCTGTTTAAAATGATGTATGTCCTGTTTACTGGAGAGAATGTTGTATTGAAAAACATCACTGAACTATAACAATACATATGAAGGGGAAAAAATTAAAGCTATGTCGTGACCCAAAATACTTGTTTGTTTCCTTAAAACTTGCAAATGTGTCTGTTCGGTGCAGCAATCAGTAATGGTATGTTTAATACTAGGACAGTTGCAGGCATCAGTGCAGAACAGGCACCACGGACTGCAGAGCCACAAAAGTCCAGAGCCTCAGTGTCTCCCTACAAGCCCAAGCAATGAGGGATCACACAGTTTTCTGGGAACACTGCACAGATTCTTCAGAGTTGAACTTGGGAACTGTAAGGCTAACTTCCTTCTGTAGCTCAGCACAGGGTCCTACATTTCTTCAGAAATGAGGACTTAAACTTGCTAGTCCTCAAGTTTAAAAACCAGCACTAATTACAGCGAGTCAAAGAACCTTCCGGGATGCCTCTGGTACCATTGTTCTTCAACCAGCACCTGACTTCGTAGCTGTGATGAAGTCGCCCAGACTTAGATTTGGGGAGAGACATGGTTGTTGCAATACTGAACATTGTAAAATATTGCTGTTAGATGCCCAGACCCTGGAATTTAGTGGCTTATTTTCGGAAGCACTGCTCAGAACTGAGGAACTCTTCACAGAATGTGCAAGGATTTAAATTAATTCTGGAGTCTAAGCACCTACTTTTGTTGAAGATGGGTCACTGTGCAGAAAATAATGAAGATTTGCTGAGCTAGTGAGAGGAAGTCAGTTCCTCTAGCTCGGCAAGTATCAGTCTCAGTTTTATCACTGCTTTCGTCTCTTTTATTCAGCAACTACAACAGTCTATACACTTCTAGACACTTTGTTTTCATAGTGCGCTTGTAACTCCCTTTGCCCCGGCCTGTCATATGTTGTAAAACGAACTGGCAAACACCGCTGTGTTTGGATACAGAGAGTATAGGACAGTGGTGAGGAGTTCTGCCTTGCTACACGGGTTGCCTGCTTTTTCTAAGATTTTTGTAAGGTTTAATCGTCTAGATTGCAGGTTCTTAAATACGATGTTTACTGTTGCTAAGCCACATTTAGAAAACCAAGAAGCAAGCAAACCCAGCAGGTGTTCAGCTCTCTTTCAAGTCGAGCAAGGGAGTTTTAAGTATCGGCTACACTGTATTTTAAGTATTGCTGTCTTAGATTCAGGCTTTTGAATTCCATCTTAGCCTTTGAACAATAGGCTTCCTTGGTTCACTGTGCTGTTAAGATATTTTTTTTTCTTCCCCTCATGTTGTGAGAGAACACATTTGCTACAACAGTAAGGATACACTATAGCTGGTGACAGTGATGTTGGTTTGGATTTTCTTTGTGCTGTTTTCATTCACTGTCAAGGGGGGTTTGCCTCCTGGTCATACGAAATTTTCCAAAGCTGGTAAAATTCTGTGGACTCAGAGTGTCCCACCAAGCACAAACCCACAATCTTGTTTACTGAGGCAGTTCAGATTGTAAAGCCATGGCATGGCTGCAGGAAACTATGTGGAACTCAAAGTGGAAGAGTTTCTAATTTTTGCTTTCATAATACAACTTCTACTGGAAAGATGTAAAATGAAAATGTTAATTGTGCAATAGCTTTTTGAAGCTGAAAAGTGCATATGTGGCAAACGTGGTTTATTTCTAGCTGCAGCTGACTGCACATCATGTTTCAGTACTGTTGGATCAAATAACTTCTATTAGATAGTTGTACCATAGCACTGAGACTCGCCATTGTATTTATATTTTACCAATTAAAATACAATACTTAAATGGAGGTGGGGATTTGGATTCACTCTAAATAGCATACTGTCAGTTCTTTTTGTAAGCCAAATCCAAGGTGAAAAATTCCGACTTGCCCTACGAGCGGGTGGATAGGAGGTCTCCACCAGCAGCAGAATTGCACATTTCAAACTGGTTGTCTCTATTGTGTTGTGGTTTTTCAGTATGCTTTTGAAGGAGCTATAATTTAGGATTTAGCAAGAAGTGGGAGAATGTGGCGGGGGGCAACATGTAAAGTTGTGGTGTATGCAGCTAGGGAGTGTTGGGGGGCGGCATTAATACAGCTGGTGTATGCAGAACTATAAACTGGATGTGGACAAAACCCGAATCGTTTATGATTACCTCTCCATCTTTGAGAAGACTTAATTAAAGACTAAAACCACCTTACTTTGCAGAAATTAGTAGAAGGAAAAAAACCTGAAATTATTTTCTTAAACTAGAATATAAGTAAAGTGAAATTGCACAAAATTATGGACTGCAGAATTTTGACCTCAGTATACGCTTCTGTGTAATGTACAATAGGTACAAGTGCTGTTCAGAGGATCTTTTTAATTTCTTTTAACTTAAACTTATTTTTGTTACGTTCTAAAGTTTTAACTCCAAGATAAATCCTGAGGAGTCTTCTGCTTGTTACAGACGATAATGATACAGATGCTAAATGAGTGTCTTTTAATGATAAGCATCTGTCTTAGTTTGAGGGATAAATGTGCAAAATGGAAAGAAGAATTGGAAAATATATCTGGCAAGGAGGCTGGATTTATTTGTTGTTATATTTATTAGTAATTAAAGGAAAATAACTTCCCATGTGGTGAATCTGCATTAAGTCACAGACTGGATTTCAGCAGCACACAAGCACAAATTCCTTTTTTTCACCCACCGGTAAACAAATGTGACAGGAAAAAAACATTTTGGTTGGCTACAGCTTAAGTTACGATGGTTCATTTGTTAAAACCCTTAATTACACAGCAGTTATGATTTCTGTCTTGGCGGAACAGAGCATATAGTGACTGTAAATAGGAGAACAATTTTCCATGTGAATAGTTTCCATAGAAATTTTCTGTAGTGTGTACATTGTATGCACGTTGTTTCATTCACGTGCACAAGTTCGGCTTCCCAATCCATCCATGACGTGCAGGTTAACACATTAAGTTAATTGTGGTTTTAAATACATTAGTAGATCATCCATCTTAAACCCTGAGATTTGGAGTCTTGAGACTTCCTTTCCCTATTGCATGTCATAGATGTTTGAATACAGCAGCTTGTCATTTTCAGCACTGTTTTTCTTCATCGGGAAGAGGGACAATGTAGAAATCATTAGCCATTAGCTCCTGGTGCAGAGTCAGGTATTTGGAAGCTCTCCTTGTCTCTGGGATCACAAATTTCTCTGTAAATTCACTTTTACTCATTTGCGGTTTTCCTTGTGCAGCCAGGACACTGTTAATGAATGCCAGTGCGTACGTGTAGCAGTTGTGGTCATGTTCATCATACCTAGGAAAAATTATCTAGTTAATAAGTTAGCACTAATCTGTTAATTACTGTGCATGGAGGAATATTTTACTGAGTGAATTAGGACACGCAAGCTCTCCAAAAACTATTGCCACCTTCCTTTAATGCTGGTGCTTAAATGGATTCTATTCCTGGCAAGTTGTACTTTCCAGCCAGGGATACTAGACACTGTGAGCATGGAGAAAAAAAAAAAAAAAAAGAAAAGAAGGCTGCAGACTTTGTATTTATAATGCAAAAGATTCTATAATACACTTATTACCCTCTGTGTCTTCCCGTTAGCATCTCATTTTTGGGAAGCATGTCTTTATATCCTGACAAAACCCAGGATCTCTCAGGAATTTAAGATATTGTTGGTCATGGCTGTTGCCACTGTTCTTTGCCGCTGTAAATGAAAAGCAACCAAGAAAATGAGAATCAGGTTTGGCCTGAACCCAAAGGAGTTACAGGATTAGTTTAGCACCGTTCCTGTCCATTGAAGAAAATAAACAGAGGAGTTAATTTAACATCTTAAAAACTTCCATTTTCAGCAGCGTAGTGGCCACTGGTCTGTTTGTGGAAAAAGCAGATCGCTTTGTCAGGAGGTGGCAGCCAGAGGAAAACCAAAGAAAAGCTTCTAGAAGAGATGCACACATCTACCCACCTTCTGCCAAAGCTTTTTTGACATCAAGTTAATTTTTGTAATAATGTGAAGCCACTGGGGACTGCCACAGTTATCAGCCACATATCCCATTGGCTTTACAAGTTCTGCAGACATTTAACAGTTCTGCTCCAGGTCAAATTCTTTTATCTCCTGGTATTAGGGAGACGATCTGTTACCTCTGAAATTTTATAGTCAAGCACATACTGAATTGCTAAAACCTGCTTTTGATTTGTTGTGGTTTTCTTTTTTCCTTTTCTGTGAGATGACATCTGTGTTCATTAACTGAAACACTGCCCAGAGCCATGCTCAGACAGGCTGTTTGTTCCACGTACAGCTACCTACGAGCAGTTCAAGGACCCGTGTTCCCTTGGACAGCAGGCTGCTTTGTCACCAGCCGGCCTGGGCACGTGGCGGTGCAGCTTTTAGCTGGGCTGTGTAACTTGTAATGCTGTCATCAGGCATTAACTTCAAGGAAGGCTATAAAGAACTGAACGTTCTCATTGGAACATATGGTTTAATTCAAAATATGCCCTTCTGTATTTAATTATCCAAAGCAATGTTATGAACCAGCTGAAGAGCTGGAAATGAGTCTCGCATTTCTGATCACTGACAACAGAGGTAAGACCTGGGCAAGAATCCCATTGGCGTGGTCAGCCTTTATGTACAAATACACCTAAACCTGCTGAAACCTGGAAGAAATAATTAGAGAACTGCATCTGGACTTTTCTACTTTTTTTACTCAGCAGCATCCTTCTTAAAGGTAATGTTTCATTGAACTGCTTTTTTTTCCACACAGGATTTTTTTGTTGCCAAAGAACACTTCCCTAAAATGATCTCTTCTTTTAGAGCTTCTACATTCCAGCAAATGAGTTTGTTACTTAGGACTTAAAAATGCTCTTTTTCTGTTTGGCAAGGCCAGTAAGTTTCAAGACAGCCTGGCAGCATTGTTTGGCCTGGTTTGCTAGAAACGTGTGTTCTTGTGTTCTACAGGAGCAAGGCTCTGAATGAACCACCAGCCTTGCAGGGTCCAAAATGGAACAAGCCCAATTTATCAACCCAGCCTAAAAACTCCTGTTGCATCCAGCTTTTAAACTACATACCTGTGAGGAAGCCAGGCCTCTCCCGCAGAAAATTCCTCCAGGAGCTCATCCCACTGCTGAAGAAGCCCAAACATGTCTGGCTGCACTAGTGGGATGCTGATGCACTGCTCCCATCCAGTTTCAGCTCTGTGGATGCCCTCTTCATTGTAATTATACACCACGCCTGGAAATAGAGAGGAACAGATTGTCAGGTGGCACTGGGTAATAGCATTCACATCCTTTTGTGCCTGTGTGGTTTTTCTTTTTCAAATGGTGACAGCTACCACTGGTTTTCCATGCTGCCATTCTTTCTTAGACTAGCTACACCATGGCCTCCCGTCAGTGGCCTTCTGTGGCTACAAAGCAGAAAATGCTGTGCTTGCTTTTAGCAAAAACCTGTCATTTCAGGTGTCTTTTGATAATGAAAGCAACTTAAGGACAACCATGCTTCTTTTTTTTAAAGCCCCAAATTAGACCATCATTATATTAAATATCTCAAGTGAGATTCTGCAGGGTGAGCCTGCTCTAGACTTGATAGGATTTTTTAATGGTGCTTTTTTAATGTTTTGCTTTTAATTAGGGTTATTTTTAGAATTAGCAAAAACTGTGCTTAAGTCAAAATTTCCTTCTTTTAAAAGGCAGGCTGCCTAGCTTTTTATTTCCCTGTGCTGGGAGCAGATGGCACATGTCAGTGCGGGTGTGTGCAATGTGAAGAGTGGCACGTGGCTTTGATCTGAAGCTCTGGGTGCTCAAGGCTGCAAGGCCAAGATAAATTAGCATCACAGAATGGTTTGTGTTGGAAGG